TCAGATAATTGGAAATAAGGTTTAAAATTCTAATTTTGATTTTGTCAAGATTAGAATTGATTAAGAAGCTACATTTTATGTTTGAACCAATTAAAAAATTAGAATGTAAAATTTTAATTCTTAATTAAATTGAAATTCTATTATTTTAAATATTTTATTAAGAATGTATAAAATTATTACATATAAATTGTTAAATAAAAAAATTAAGTTATTATAAATATAATTTTTCAATAGAACTTGTTTTGTTAAATTACGTGTCTAGTTTTCATAAAATTATGTCTTTGATAAATGATCAGTGCCAAAAATATTTGACGGGTTAAAATGTAGTCCCACTCCAAATTCAAAACCTCTTCATGGAAACTTGTAACACTCACTATTACTAAGCTATAGAAATTTATTACTTTTAATACTTTTATTATTCTATTTTTTATATATTCAATATAAATTTAATAGAATTATTATATATACAACAATTTAAACTATTTTTCTCCTCGAAAGCAATAATATATCTTTAAAAATAAAAAATAATATAAATTATAAAATAATATTTAAAATTTTTATCAATGATTTTAAAAAATAATTTTTTTTACTTTTTTACATATAATTTGATTTAAAATTATAAGAATTCGATATTTTTTTTTATTTAAAAATTTAATACATAAATTCATTGAAATATATAATTTAATTCTAAAAAATATATCCAATATAAATTTAAACTAATTAGAATATATTAAATAAAAATATTATAAAATTTAAATTCTAAAAAAATTATAAACCAATGAATATATATATATATATATATATAATTCTGATTGGTTTATATATATATATATATATATATATATATATATATATATATATAAACCAATCAGAATTATTTTTCCTAAACTCCAAAATAATGTCGTTTGGAGTTGTAGGAGACTATGAAATAACTTTATCTATTGTTGCAAGAAAAAGTGTTTTGAGATTGCAAAAGATAACTTTATCTCCTGTTGTAAGAAAAAAATATTTTTTCATATATATAATAATTCATAATTTAATTATATTTGAATTAAATATAAATTTATTTTATTTTATTTTTGATAATTTTATCTAAACTTGTATTTTGTATATTTTAATTAGATTAAACATATATTTGTTCTATTTTTATAAAAAAAAAAATCACAATCTCAACAATAGTAAAGTTGGGGGGGGGGGGGGGGGGGGAGTTTGTTGACATTATAACCTAAGGCTGTGGAAAGATGTGGGTAAAGTGGGCATTAAAAATATATATAATATCTTATCCTTAAATGAGCAATACAGCTTATAAGTTAATGTGGCTTAGTGATTGGAATTACAAATTTTTATGAGGAGGTTAGCTGAGGTCCGATCCGATCTGTTGCACTCATTCAAAAAAGAATAGGAATATAATTTTTTAAAAATTTTGTATAAAAAATTATAATGTTTTAGTAAAAATTCAGGATTGAAATAATATAATATATTTATTTTTTAATATCACAAAATTAGACTCTTGATTAAAATTTCAATTCTAAAACATACATACCAAATATTAGGGGTGGTAAACGAGCCAGGGGCCTTTGACTCGACTCGTAAAGGCCTGAGCTCGTTTAATAAAAGCTCGTGTTGGAACCAGACTTGGACTTGTATAAAAGCTCGTTTAATAAAAAGGTCTCAGGCTCTAATTCAGAAGCTCGGCCTTAGAGCCTCCCAGGCTAGCCTAGTATATAAATATTTATTTATACTTTTTATACTACTTGTAATAACTCTCTCTCATCAATTTATTTCACCCTATTTTATTGGTTTAACAGACTTTTTGAATGATTTTGTTCTATATTATGCTTTTTGGATATATATTGAATTTATGTATATTTATGGAATTACTAGTGCTGTTCTATATTATCCTTCATCCTCCTTCACACAAACAAACCCACAAAAACTCATTTGTTCCACTGTGCACTGCTCGTTTGTAAATAAATCAGGCCACAGACCAATATTATATTCGTAACAGGTAACAGGCTAAGGCCAGTCAGACACGATTAAATACAGGCTCGACCCGTTAAGATCAAAGCTCGGCTCGGCTCGACCCGTTAAGATCAAAGCTCGGCCCGTTAACACCCCTACCAAATATGATAATTTGAATTGTAAAGTAAAATTTATAATTTCAAAACTTAATTTCAAGTATAATTCTATGGGATAGGATATTGTGACACCCAAGTTATGTTACACCCATGTGACACCCAGTCAATCTCACCGTTAGATCGCTTATGTTGATCCAACGGTTATATTTATTTCCATCTTTGTATGGTCATGATTTTCCAAATTTAAAGTGAAAGCATTAAATATGGAAAATCATAACCATACAAAGGTAGAAATAAATATAAAATATTAAATTTGGAAAATCATGACCATACAAAGATGGAAATAAATATAACCGTTGGATCAACATAAGCGATCTAACGGTGAGATTGACTGGGTGTCACATGGGTGTAACATAATTTGGGTGTCACAATATCACATCAGCTCCGGCATCCTGCCGTCCGAGGTCTCAACCCTCGAGTTACCTGAACCTGAAAGTGTGCCCCAAACGTGGGGTGAGATCTCTAAACAGAAATCTCAGTAAGACAAGGGGTCCTCAAGGATTTCTCCACCCTAAGCTCACTTACATGTGCAATATAAGTTCAAAAGCAGTAATATAATATAAGTTTGAAAATCAGTGCAATGCAGCAGAATAATCATGTCATGTGTGTCAACTATTCTACTGGCCAGAGAAATACAGGATTTACATACGTCTATTACCTACAATCAGTGCAAGTCACTACTTGCACTGACCCACAGAATCACCCTATGGTATGTCTCCTACATACACAGGCTTACCATCTAGGTGGAACAATACATGCATATTATAAGCACTTGCACATAACAGCTCAACAACATTTCAAATATAAATACATGAAAACACATCATGCATATAAACCATCCCCCCATGGGGTATGGTGGAACCAACAATGGCTAAATCGAGGACACGAAAAACTTACCTCTTAAGCAATCAATCCAAGCCAAGTCCACGCAAGCTCAATGTTACCAAACAGCACAATCACAGTCTGTTTATACAATAATTAATCATCCATAATCATTGCCCAAGGTTCCATTAAGTGATTAAGGCTTTCCAACTCATTTTAAGTGATTTAAGACTAAATCTGCAGGAGGTATTCGAATACTCCTCGATGAGTATTCGAATACTCCATGTCTCCAGAAAGTATCCGAATACTTTCACTTAAGTATCCGAATACCACAAGGTATCCAAATACTTTTCACTAAGTATCTGAATACCACAAGGTATTCGAATACATTACCCACAGTATCCGAATACTACCCAGTATTCGAATATTTCTTCAAGGTATCCGAATACTTTTCTTCCCAAAGAAGTATCCCAATACTCCTGCAAGGAGTATTCGACTACCCCTTGATAAGTATTCGAATACTACACGAAAAGTATTCGAATACTCATCAGATAGAATGCAGAAACTCGAGTTGTCATCTGCATAATTCCATTTTTAAGTGTCCAAACATGATTTGGAGTCCAAAGACTCCGTAAACAGATGTTCATTAACATAGTTTAGACTCAGAATCTCAGTCCTTAACTCAAATGATCAAAGTTTCACTTTTTAATGGATTAAACAAGCTAAAATCAGGAAAATAACAAAGAGGTGATCATGGAATACCTCAAGTGCTCAAAACTCAGAAAATGAGACAGATTAGGAGCCTCCAACACAGCTACACAACATTGACTTAGAAGGACCACGAAAATGCACCACAAGTTGGCTCTTTTACACTTAAAAATGGTTCCTTAAAGCCACCAAGACAAAACAATGGCCCACACAATGAGAACCCTCAACTCAGCCCTCAAGACCTCTCAAACTCAGAAACTAAACTCGGAAATGGAGCACCTTTCAAACACTCAAGGCTCAAGCACACTCAAGTATGAAGCTTTTGTGAAGAAGTCAAGAGGAAATGTGACCTCTTGAAGGTTCTCTATGGAGAAATAAAGGTGGCAAATGGAGGACGAAAGCTGAAGGCAGTCAGCAATAAGGGTCTCACGTAGGATGAAAATAAGGCCTAGGGTTTTGGGCCTATTATATATATATATATATATATATATATATATATATATATATATATATATATATATATAGGTCCATTAAACTAATCACACAATATTAGCATTAATAGCTACGCTTATCGTTTTAATCTCAAACTTGGGATTCTGAACCTAGCCGTTTTTCTAGGATTTGTCATATTTTTATTTTATTTTTCTCAGTACTTTGCCGGTACGCGCTTTTACGTAGTCAGTATTAGTTCTGATACCAATTCTCATTATTTTGACTTGAAACTTGTTATGCTAGTCCTATATATTATTCTAGTGACATATACACATTTTTCATAATTTTTCGAGATACTTCATCCGTATGCATTTATACCGTGGAGCAGAACCGGTATCTGCACTTTTCGTCAGAAAAACGACTTTCAACATTATTAATCACTTACCATAATTATTTAAGCCTTCTCATAATTATAAGGGTCAATTATGAAATTAACTCATTAATCTCATAATTAATTAATTAAATTCCTAATTTAATGGTGCAGGTTCTTACAAAGACCAGGAACAAATTTTAGGTAATAGACATTCAGTGTCCTCGAGTCCTCATGATCATGATCCCTATCATAGATCCCCGAGTGAACACCTGTTCTATTCCTAGGGTCTTTATCTTTAAACGCATATTAACAATAAAATATTGGCGAGACATAAATATGATAAAGATAAAGTTTGCTCAAATTTATTAATCATGAAATACTAAATAGAAAAAGGTGTTCATATGAAAAAGTAGTTTGTCTCTAGGACACCTATATACTAACAATCTCCCACTTGGCCTAGATCCAATCAGATCGACGTGTCAAGCCTAAATACTCACAATGACTATCATGTTTTCTCTGAGAGAGACCCTTCGTCAGAGAATCGGCTAAATTATTATCAGTGAGGACATAGTCCATCTTTATCTCCAATCTTTCAATAAACTCTCGGATGAGGTGATACTTGCGGAGCACATGCTTGGACCTTTGATGAGACTGGGGTTCCTTGCCCTGGGCTATAGCACTAGTGTTGTCACAATACAAAGGTATTGGATCAACAATGCTCGGAACCACTCCAAGTTCTGCAACAAACTTCTTGATCCAGACTGCTTCCTTAGCCGCTTCTAAAGCCGCTATGTATTCTGCCTCAGTAGTAGAGTCTATCGTGGTCTCTTGCTTGGAACTCTTCCAAGAAACTGCTCCACCATTTAAGGTGTAGATAAAGCCTAACTGAGATTTACAGTAGTCTTTATCACTCTGGAAGATAGCATCAGTGAACCCCTTCACTTTCAGCTCATTACTGCCACCATAAACCAGAAACAACTCCTTAGTCCTTCTCAAGTACTTAAGGATTATCTTTACGGCCGTCCAGTGACTCTCTCTAGGGTCAGACTGGTATCGGCTCGTAATGCTTAAAGCATAAGAAACGTCTGGTCTAGTACATAGCATGGCGTACATAATGGATCCAATTGCTGATGCATATGGAATCCTCTCCATGCGTTCCCTTTCGGCAGGTGTCTTAGGACACATAGCCTTAGAGAGATGAATGCCATGACCGACAGGAAGAAAACCCCTTTTCAACCCATCCATGCTAAACCTCTTTAGCATCTTGTCTATGTACGTGGATTGGAATAATCCCAGCAACCTCTTGGATCTATCTCTATAGATCTTAATACCTAGTATATAGGTTTCCTCTCACATATCCTTCATGTTGAAGTTCTTAGACAACCAAACCGTTATGGACTGTAACATGGGAATGTCATTTCTAATGAGCAATATGTCATCTACATGTAGCACAAGGAAAACAACAGCACTCCCACTAACCTTCTTGTAGACACATGGTTCATCCTCATTCTTGATAAAACTGTTATCCTTAACGACTTCATCAAAACGAAGATACCAGCTCCTGGAAGCTTGCTTAAGCCCATATATTGACTTTTGAAGTTTGCATACCATATGCCATAGTTATAAAACTGAACCCGACCCGGCCGGGTCTACCCGGAACCCGACGAACCGGTCATCAGACCGGGTCGGGTCAAGCATTGGATCGATCATGCATCGACCCGGTCAAACCCGGACAAAACCAGCCAAACCCGGTGACCCGTTCGGGTCATACATTTATAAAAAAATCAAAAAATCAAAAAACCAAAATTGTTTAATCTTGTCAAAAAAAATGTAGAACTCATTTTAAAAACTTTATGTAATTTTATTTGCTAGTATACTCTTTTACAATGACCTCAAGTTTCAGCTTCTAATACTGAAGCAATTTACGGAATAATAAATTAAGAGAATGTGACATATGTCATTTTTAATGTAGTTGAATTTGAAAAGTATGAGTTCAATGTCATTGAGAGGTATGTTTATGGGGATTCTTAGTTGCAATTTAAATTGACATAGTAATAGCATGCATTTTTTTATTTATGCTTCTTGTTTTTGAGTTTATTTAATGAACCTTGTTTAATTCATTTTAGACATGGAGAATATAATTGAATTTATATGTTCATATTTATATATATTTTTATATATCTATATATATCTGGGTCAACCGGTTCGACCAGTGACCCAGTAACCCAGTACCCCAACAGGGTCGATGCCCGGGACGGGTTTAATAACACTGACATATGCTCTTGGCTCTTGGATTCAAAACCTTCAGGTTGTGTCATATACACTTCCTCCTTCAAGAACACATTCAAGAAGGCGGTTTTGACATCCATTTGCCAAACTTCATAATCATAATATGCGGCTATCGCTAGCATGATCCTAATAGATTTGATCATGGAAACAGGTGAGAAGGTTTCCTCAAAGTCAATTCCTTGTCTTTGATGGTAATCCTTCGCAACCAACCTAGCTTTATAGGTTTGGATGTTGCCATCAGCATCAGTCTTCCTCTTGAAAACTCACTAGCACCCAATAGGAACTATTCCCTCAGGTGGTGGAACCAAGGTCCATACCTTGTTTTGATGCATCGAATTTATTTTGGATTCCATGGCTTCTTACCATTTTGAGGAGTCAACATCCTTGACTGCCTCAGTGTAGGAAACAGGCTCGTCATCCTCAACGGTCTGCTGATTCTTAATCACAAAATCGTACCTCTCAGGTGGATGACTAACCCTAGTGCTCCTACGGGGCTGGGTGTCTACTGCCTTTAGTTGAGGCATCTCCTGATCAACAGACTCGGGTTCCCCTATCTGTTCTTGTAGGTCTTGAGTTTCTTCAAGTTCTACCTTACTCCCACTATATTCTTGAGAAAGAAGGTCTTCCTCAAGAAAAGTAGCATTCTTGGACACAATGACTCTTTGGTCCTCAGGTTAGTAAAAGTAGCATCCCTTAGTTTTCTTAGGGATATCCTACAAAGTAGCACAAGGTGCTCCTATCTCCTAAATTTTTAGGTGCTAGGGTCTTGACATAAGCTGGACAACCGCATACCTTGAGATAACTCAAGTTGGGTTTTTGGCCCCTCCATATCTGATACGAAGTAGTCAGAACAGATTTTGACGGAACCCTATTAAGAAGGTGTAGCACCGTATGCAGAGCGAATCCCCAAAACGATTTTGGGAGCTTCGTACCACTCATCATAGAACGTACCATGTCTAACAAGGTTCGGTTCCTCCTCTCTGACACATCATTCTGATGTGGTGTGTAAGGATCTATCAACTGTGAGAGAATCTCATTCTCTCTTAGATAATCCTGAAACTCCTGACTCAGATATTCGCCACCCCGATCAGATCGAAGTGTCTTAATCATCTTGCCAAGTTGTTTCTCCACTTCATTCCTAAACTCTTTGAACTTTTCAAAGGCCTCGAATTTGTGTCTCATAAGATACACATATCTGTATCTGGACTTATCATCAGTCAAGGTAACGAAGTAGGAGTATCCTCCTCTAGCCTGAGTAAATAAGGGCCCACAAACATTAGAATGAATGAGTTCTAGTAACTCATTAGCTCTATGACTCGCAACTTTCTCGACCTTGGTCTTTGTCATTTTACCAGCCAAACAAGACTCACAAGGCCCATAGGATTCAAAATCCATGGAATCCAGATAACCATCATGATGGAGTCTATACAGTCTTGTCTCATTAATGTGTCCCAATCTATAATGCCAAAGATAGGATCAATTACCTAATTTACGCTTCTTAGTTTGAATACTAGGAATGTCACTATCTGTATTTAAATCCAAAACATACAATCCATTCACTCTAGATGCGCAAGCATAAACAAGATCATTCATAATGATGAAGAACTTGCCATCTTTTATTACAAAGTGAAAACCAGATTATTCTAAACTAGAAATAGAAATAATGTTTCAAAAAATAGACGAAACATACAAACAATTATTCAAATGTAAAGAAAGGCTCGTAGGCAACATAAGATCCATATCCCAATGGCTAGTGCAGCAACTCTTGCTCCATTCCCGATGCAGAGATTGACCTCTTTCTTCTCCAGTTTCCTAGGACTCTTTAGTACCTACAACAAATTGCAGATGTGAGATCCACAGCCAGTATCTAATACCCATGAAGCTGAATCAACACTTGAAAAATTAATTTCTATAGTGAACATACCAGAGGCTGAAGCATCATCATGCTTCTTTCCCTTGAGGCTCGCAAGGAATAATGGGCAGTTCCTCTTTCATTGTCCTTCCTTCTGACAATGGAAACATACATCTTTAGCCTTGTCCTAGAATTTCTCCTTTCATTTCCCCTTGTCTTTGCCCTTCTTCTTCTTGGGCTTGAGCTTGTCTGACTCCACAGACTTGCCCTTACCCTTGGTCTTAGTTAGGCCCGCCAATCAGAAGAACTTGGGTCCTGTTCCTTTTAACAGCACCCTCAGCAGTGGTCAAGAGGTTCAACAACTCTGGGGGTGTTGTCTCCACTTTATTCATATAGTAATTGACCACAAAGCCATTATATGAAGGTGGCAAGGACTGCAAGACTAATTCAACACTTAACTCATAGTCCATGATAAAACCCAGAGAAGCAAGCTTCTCTATTAGCCCAATCATCTTGAGGATGTGCGGTCCAACCGCCATACCCTCAGCCAGCTTGCAGCCAAACAGCTCCTTGGAGGTTTCAAAACGCTCAGCCCTCCCTTGTTTATCATAAAGCTCTTACAGATGCAAGATTATGGAGGGAGCATCCATATGCTCATACTGACGCTGAGGCTCCGCAGACATAGACGCAAGCACTATACATACTGCTTGCTCATTGTCTGCCAATTGTTGTCTATGAGCTTCCCAGTCATACTGGTCATACCCATCTTGCCCTTTAGTAGGGGCAATAGGAACAGGAGAATCTAGAACATATGCTTTCTTTTCAGATTGTAAAACTATTTTTACATTCCTATACCAATCCGTGAAGTTTGGTCCAGTTAACTTGTTAGCATCCAAAATAGAGCGTAAATTCAAATTTTTGGCCATAACTCAATTTCTGAAAATAAAGATAAACTTACATAAGTATTTCACGATAATAACCAAATACAGAGACTTTTAAACGTATAAGGCCCTCCCACTATTTTATCTAAAATCAATGACCCTCAGTGATTGATTTAGGGTTATCCTTCATAAGGACATCCTTAATGGGCTAAGAGAACGACTAGGTCCATTAGTCTCCGGCTGAGCCTGCAAAACTAACTTATCTAGTGGGTTGATTTCATCAACAATATCTCTATATCTTCTCTTAGATCATCAGGTTGACAACTCATTGTCACTTAGTGTTACATCACTATGTAACAACCTGGCCCATTGCCCTAGATGCATAGACCTGGCTGAGCCTGCAGTTTATGTATCTAGTTTAGCACAAACCATCATCCTAAGTGTCATACACTTCAAATGGCACCCTTGCCCGACTAAATGATAGGTCTTAGCTGAGCTAGAAAGAACTATTATGTAGAAGGGATTTGAATGTCATCGATGATGGGAGGCAATCAAAAAACATGCTAGATAATTTTACTTGACGGTTCATTTTAGTCTCATCATTAGTTATTCATTTTCCTTTATCTTACATGCATATTATAATCACTATCATATAGTTTTTCTTTTAAACGGCTTGTTTAAACATGCATACTAGTCGAGGGATGATCGCGTTTACTATAAACATACATACTAGTCGCAAATTAAAAAATTCAAATTTCAAAATTCAAAAAGTAAACAGAATTCATAATTTCGAATAACAACTTTGAACCTTTGAAATTCAAAATTTAAATTTTAAGTTTTTGAAAATTCGAATTTCTATAAGAAACATACACGCATGCATAAATTCAAATATCATATTTTTTAAATTTAAACGCAAGTGGATGATCATGGTGCCTTCCGATTCTCAATCCAAAGCATCTTCAATCCTCGGATCATCATCTTCTTGGCTGAAACATCTTTGTGCTCCATGGACATTTTTAAACTCCATCGATTTAAAATTTAGATCCAAAAACTTACATAAAATTTAAAAATGCAGAATTTTAAATCGGGATTTTAAATTGGGACAAAAACAAACCCATTTAACCAAAGAATTAAAACAAAAAACAAAATGTAACCATACATTCGAAGCACCATGATCATCCAATAATCAAAGTACCTACAAGGAGGTTAGAGGCATACAAGACAATATACGATTGCTAAGCATTATCGAATTCATCTTCAAAACATGATCAAGATTCATAAAAATGAAATTGTGATGTGGTTGCCCACTATGTAGGTTGCGGCTATGATGGTGTCATTACCATAATGGTTTTGACAATTCTAGTCCAACTAGATTTAAAATACATCCTTAGCACCAAGACTCTCTTGGCCGCCACTTTATCTCCATAAAGTGATGTCTCTTTTCACATAATCACAAAAAATTAGTCATTTCACAAAGAATAAATTTTTAAAGAATCTTGTTCAAAAAGATGAAGATTTCAAAAATAGTTTTTGAAAATTTGATATCAGATTTCTAACCCAATTCGTTTGCAGCAACGAACCAGGCTCTGATACCACATGAAAGGTTCGAAATTCAGCACCATAGTCATACTATAGAGTGTATACATGGGTGAAAAAAAATAAAATTTCGGGGAGCAAAAGCATAAACCATCTATGCACCCCATGTATGAATGTTTTAGGAATCTTTACGTTGAAATGAGATAGGGTTTCAGAATTACCTTTTCACTTGTAGGTGCAAAAGGATGATGCCCTCCAACGATGATCCACATGGTTATCTCCTTCTTGCAAGCAAGAACTCTTTCTCCTTGATCCCTCCTTATCCTCAATGGCTGGGTAGGCGCATGCAAGGAAGAGGCTACCAAGTGTTTGGATTATTTTACTCAAGACTGTAATGGTGTTTTGAGATTAGGTGATGGTGCAAGCAAAGAGAGAGAAGAAGAAAGGTTGGAACTTTTCCTAAAACCCTAAGAGGAGGGAGCATCAGTTTTTCTGATTGTGATCAATTGATTTTGCTCCCCTATGGGAGGCGCACATATGGAGTGATGAGAGGATTTATCTTTGCTTGATCCTCTCACTCCATAACATACCAGACTGTTGGGAGCCTTTGGAAGCTTCATGACTTGAATTCAAAATTCAAGCATGGATCATATCCATTTGTTCCATGCAATCTGATGCAGAATCCAGTCAGGATCTCTCTCCGCATAGGCGCCCCTTTTCCCTCTTCTTCCCTCAGAAAGTTTGTTGCAACAATATCATTTGAATTCAAAATTCAAATAAAGGAGCAGTTGAGAGAATCTTCATCCAATCTCTATTGGATAATTCTTTCAGATAATTTAAATTATCCTAAGATTATTTAAATTATCCTCAACAACCTAACCTCATAGAATATAAAATTCAAATTCAAATTTCAAATTCCAATTTGAAATTTAAACTCAAATATAAATTCAATCTTATCCAAGTTCGTAATTCGAATTCAAAATTCAAAATTCAAAATTCAAAATTCAAAATTCAAAATTTCAATTTCAAATTTAAATTTCAAATTTCAAATTCACGGAACTACAACACGTAGCCCGGACTATAATCTTGAGACATTAATACAACTCGGTTGTAACTAAGACATAGTGAATCAATAAGGCATGGACACTCCCCATGCTCACCAAATAAGGCAACGAGGCCCAACAAAGTCACAGCTCAATAGCAACAGACATAATCCAGCATCCAAGCATAATCAGCATAAGCAGGTAAACATCAACCAACTAAGCTCCGGCCTCCTGCCTCCCGAGGTCTCAACCCAGCGTTACCTGAACCTGAAATGTGCGCCCTAAATGTGGGGTGAGATCTCTAAACAGAAATCTCAGTAAGACAAGGGGTCCTCAAGAACTCTTCCGCCCCAAGCTCACTTACAAGTATAATATAAGTTCAAAAATAGTAATTTCAATGCATGTTCATGTTAAGGCATTTATATCATGACAGTATAATCTCTTGCTTGACAAGTTAAATACTACAACTCATTAATCATGTGATGTATGTAAATGCGGTTCGACTGGCCAGAGAAAAGGATAGGGATTATGCACGTCTGCGATCCATCTAAACATAAGAGTCGCAGTCTTATGCCTTACACACCAGAGTCGCTGTCTGATTGTGTAAGTAAACAACATCACTTCCATACACTACATGCCTTACACACCAGAGTCGCAGTCTGATTGTGTAAGTAATCAACAGACATATTCACATATCTCAGGCATATATCAATGCATATAACATTTTCATAAAAGCATACCATGCATATAAACCACCCTCCCATGGAGGTCGGTGGAATAAACAACATATCAATCCGAGGACACGAAAGCTTACCTTTCAAGCTAGTTATCCAAACCAAGAATCCACACAAGCTCAAAGTCCACAAACAGCAAGATCACAATCTGTTTGGACCAATAATCACATCAATATACATACTCTACACGATCATGACATAAATACAACGCCTTTCATTTATGTTTCATGTCTTTAGACTTCTCACAAAGCCACAAGCCCTTAATCACTTAGATTCTGACTTAGTTTAATTATTACAGAGGTTCAACTTAGCCAATCTAGGGTCCACAAACCCCAAACATCATTCTGTATGAACAGTACCGTCACTGTTCCGAAATTCCCAGAATATCCGGATATTTGTCGGGGACATATCCGGATATCCCATATCCGGATATTTCGCAACAGAATGCAGTTCTGCATTTTCGCGAAGATATCACTTAAAGGTTGGGTTTTTAACCCATTACAACGTCCAAGCATGCAATTTTATAGGCTTTTATGTTCATGTTCAGGTTGGATACTTGTTTAACCTATTAAGCATGTCAAGACACCTCTTTTATCAATTAAAACTCATGACCAATGGTTGGTAAAACTTACCCAAGCTTTAAAACAGAGAAAGGAGTGCTCTTGGAGCTCACCAACAACCTCCAAGGTTCTGACTTTGAAGATGCACGAAAATGGCACACAGCAATGGTTCCTTTCCTTCAAAGATCACTCCTTGAAGCTCAAAATGCCTTCACAAAGGCTCCACCCTCACAACTTAGCAACACAACCCCTAAGTCTCACCAAGACAGACCTCAAACTCAGAAAGGTGAAGGCTTTCACCCTCCAAACACACACCTCTAAGTGTTTACAATGTTTAAAGAGAAGAATCCATGGTAAATGAGGTGACTTGGGAGAGTTTTCATGCAAGAAGGCCAAAGGAAGAAGGTGGCAGCTCACACTCAGCAAATTCTCACGTAGTGAATGTCAAGTTTATGACCTAGAAACTTGTGCACTCCTATATATAGTCTAATTAGTTTTAATCGCACGGTATTAGCGCTAATTGCTACGCTTAGCAATTTAATCGCAAACTTAGGATTCTGAACCAACTCATTTTTCTAAGATTTATCATATTTTTATTTTATTTTTCGCAGCACCTTTTCGGTACGCGCTTTCAATAGCCATAATCAGATTCTGGCACCAGTTCTCATTATTTTAACTTGAAACTCGTTTTACAAGTCCTACATATTATTTTAGGAATATTCATGCACCTATTATAATTTTTCGGGATACTTCATTGGTACGCATTTATACCGAGTAGCAGAACCGGTACCTGCACTTTTCGTCCGAAAAGCGACTTTCAGCATTCTTAATCACTTTTTATATTTATTCAAGCTTTCTCATAATTATTAAGGTCAATTATGGAATTATTTCCTAATTTCACGCATTTAATTAATTATTTTTCTTAATTAACGATGCAGGTTCTTACATTCACCCCACATTTTTAAGATTTTGCCCTTAAAATTAGAAAGCATACCTGTCTCGAAGCTCGGGATATTGCCGGAGAAGCTCGTCCTCTCGCTCCCAGAATTACCCTTTGGGGATTTTTCCCGTTCATTGTACTTTGACCATCGAAATGATCTCGCTCCTCCGCTGCTTCTTGCCACGATCGAGAAACTTGAGTGGTCCGACAGGAGTTTTTAAGTCCTCCTAAA